CTGCTTCCGGGTATGAAGGAGCGAAAGAATTTATTTGTAATACGGACACCATGGACTTCATTTCTTTTGTGTGCCGTGTCCCTTCAGGATGTAGACGATCATGTCCCTTCACATCATCCTGTCCCTTGTAGCTTGATCAGAAAGGTTTTCTCTCGAAGATTCACTTAGAGCTGGACAACCGGGTTTTGGTCAATGATTGATTCGTTTTATGTGGCTTACGTACATTTTGTAGGTTTATTTAAAGCCAGAAAATAGTTTTAGATTGTAAGAATTTTTTTTAGATAATAATGATATAGTGAGACAAGCCTTACTAATTAACCCATAGATGGGGTGCGAAGAGGTTCATTCATTCGAATGTTATTCACCAATAACATTACAAATATCTTCTTTGGATTTTATCATTTTATCAAGAATCTCTAAATATTTAGCAGGAGCACCGGACCATATGTAGCAGCAATATTCAAAGTTGAATGATTGAAGAGAAGATTTGATACCGAACAATCCTTATAGAATCATCTCCAGTGATGAAAAATTGATTCTCCCTAATACTATCCAATGAAAATGATAATGGTTAGCACCCACTGAAAAAATAAAATAAAATAAAATCATTCACCAGGATTACACCCGAAAATAATAAGGTTTGCGTCTGCGTCTGCGGGGTCTGCGTTTGATGGGATACGAAAGGGATATGTCATGAAGTGCGAATTTAAAGCGAAATTTGTAATGCGGAGTAGTATAGTCTTAAATTTCAGAGCATTGACCAAACATTTTCCCCCAAAATAAGCGGCAACCAGAGGTTAATCGTGAAGCTGTGTTGCGCTTACACAATAATGCGAAACTACATATTGCTCGAGTCCCCGCAGGAAAAGCTTTGGGCACTAAATATGGAAGCTTTACCTCGCCTCCTTACTTTACTTTGCATCGAGGATAAATATATTGATATATTACAGACCCTGAGTAAGACAACGAAGAAATTAGAGTTCCAGTCTATTTAATCTCTTCCTAGATTATTTTCTTTGCATTTACAAACACAGATGTGATGAGATGGGCAATGACCATTTCAGCATCCCAGAAATAAATAATAGTAATAGATTTATAAAAAGAACCTAAAATATCAACTTGAAAACTCGAGTCATGTTCTTAAATAGCCTCGTCAGATCGTGACTTTCATATGGATGTCAGGTATGGCACCAAACCCGTTCAGAAAAAAACTGTTAGCTATATGCAAGATCAATGATGGAAAAAAGGCTTTGAGCGAGTAAAGCCTACGGTTCTTAGCAGAGTTCATCCCTTTTTGAAAAGTGTGAATTGGCGCTACAGAATCACAAAGAAGTGTACCAATTAACAGAAACCACATCACTTGAGGATTACCAACAACAGCAACAATTAAAATGGATAGCACATGTAATTCGAAAGGAAAATAATAACATAATCATGATTTTAACATTGCACACCACTAACATTAGAAAGAATCAATACTTAGAAGAAGAAATTAAAGCCGCGGTTTATTTAATATCTTCCCAGATTTACAAGCACTGATGTGATGAGAAGGGCACTGACCATTCAAGCATCCCATACAACATTCAATTCCGCATACCAAACGAGTCTACCAACAGAAGACAGCAATCCTACTTCCTCTCCCGAGGAGTATCGATGATTAAAGTGGGGAGGGGACAATACTGATGACATAGGTGTTCATTGTTGGGCTAAGAATGATCTTGAACAGAAAATCAACATCCTCTTACCAAATTTTGTAATTGAAATGAAAGCAATGATGTCGCTTTCTTTGAATCCATCATAAAAAATTCTGATGTCCAATATTAAACATTTCTATACGAATACTGAACACTTCGGATATCTCAGCGTAGGAATAAAGTTATAACAAATAAAGTACAGGAGACAAGGAAATTGAATATAGAATAAGCTACGTCAGAGGTAGTTTCGGCCAACACCGCAAATTATTAAGAACCCAAAACATTAACTTCAAAATTCGAGTCACGTTCTTAAATATCCTCGTCAAATCGAGACTTTCATATGGATGTCATGCATGGGGCCAAACTCGTTCATAAATATCTAAGTTGTCAGCTGTATACAACCACTCCCTAAGATCAATGGTGGAAAAAAAGGCTTTGAGCGAGTAAAGCCTAAGGGTCTTAGCAAAGTTCATCCCTTTTTGAAAAGTGTGGACTGGCGCTACAGATTCACAAAGAAGTGTACCAAATAACAGAAACCTCATCACTTGAGAATTAACAACAGCGGCAATAATTAAAATGGATAGCACATATAATTTGAAGAGAAAATAATAGCATAATCAAGATTTTAACACTGCATACCACTAAGATTAGAAAGGACCTCCTCCATCCATACTGGAAAGAGCGATAACACCTACTGAACTTGAGAAACCTATTTTTTCTGAAAAGTTGTATGATTTTCTAATTTCAACTACAAGTAGGACTGGCTTCTCGGTCAATGAATGTCAAATGTTTCCTTATAGGGAAACGGCTAATATTAACATTACAATTACATATATGACTGAACCACTACCATTCTAACTGCTCAACTACGCGCCCCAAATCAATAACATACTATGTTAAATGCATGATAAAAATTGAAAACAGAAGCACGACTTTATAATACCCAAATTAGGAGACTTTTGTGACGTAGAGAGCCCGCAGAAACATCAGGTATATTTACCGCATCTTCAGTGGAAACTCAGGGCTGGGCTATTATTCCAACGCCTAACGAACTACCTTACAAGGTAAAAATATTCCAATTGCCGTATTCATGGATAGAGGAGATATGGATTCTTACGTTCATCAACGGTATTACTGAATAGAATTCAAACTGCATAAATTTTTCACGACTGATTGGTTACTCCCACCCACTATAACACTCACCCTCATACGCACATCAACTGAGGACATTAATCCATTTCTCCACTCTGCTCAGACCATCCCAACGATAATAATTAATCTGCCGACGACAGTCATTCTCAAGAACATAACGGTCAGACAATTGTTTCCCGCTTATAAAAGACAAAATGGCGATCGTTGCACAAAGAAGTAGAAAGAGTATCAATTATGGCAACCACAAGAGGTCTATGACCACTTGCCGTGTCAGTTTACACGACATGACTGTAAAATAATAGAGGACAAAGCTTTGTTGGAAACAATAGCTATTGTTTCGAGGAATTTGGTTTGGCACACATGACAATATTGCGTTTTGGAGTATGTGCATATCGCAAAAAGCAGATGGTAGCAGTGCAAACTGCAAATACGAATCTAATAGACGCCTATGGAAATAAGAAAGTTGTTATGATCATTTAAAGTCTTTATACAAACGGAGTATGATGTCGGAGTACATATTGCACATAATTCATACCAGACAAAAAAAGCTGAACGCACCAAGACATTGACTTAAGGGTTTACTATCAGACGCTAAATGGAGAAGCACAGAAGCTAACACCTGCATATGGGTTTTGCAAGAGTGAGAAATATTTATAAAACACGCGTTTATATAAATACTTGCCTTACAGATGAATAAGCAGACATCACATTTGTATTACTTCAAAGAAAATAAAATTTTGGCATTATAAGGACCCATAAGGAGCTGATATATCGTTAAACAAACAAATCAAATCTATACGTACAATGTCTAGCTTGAAGGTTTATTATCTGTCTGTATTTCTGAGATGAGGTATTATGTACACTATTTACATTATTCGAACTATCATCCTCATTTTTGTTCTCATATTTATCACAATGTTTCGACCGTTGTACGATCCGGCCTTCTTCAGGTGGTTGGAATGTCGAACTGAACCCTTTGGGTCCTTTCACTGGATCTAACCAACGCTTTTGTGAGTTCAATACCTGATTAAGGCAGTGGAGATCTTGGAGAGGTGAATTAACAGGAGATAACTGATAACTGGCATTCATTAGACATGGCACGTGGAACTAGAACAGTCTACCAGAGAGAGCGAAATTGAAGGTTCATGTTCCCATAAAAGACGCTTTTGGTAATTAACTTTGATCGGCATAGATAACAAGGATCGATATTCTATGTGTTGTGACTCATTCCATTCTTTATCTTCATTAAAGTTATCTGCAAATTGAACCAGAGTCGTCTTTCTGTTTTCTCCTTCTTGATGGAAAAGTCTTTGTTCGTTTCTTGCATAGGTAAATCATGGTTAGAGTTTGGGGATTCCCCACCCCACTCTTTGAAGCTCTATCGACAAGTAATCACCATAATTGAATGTCGGCAAACTGTGGCAAGTATTCGGAAATACTCTGGACTATTCACAGCCACATATATACACATAATCTTGCAAGTTGGGTTCAGTTAGAAATATATTCAGATCAATTCACTACGTCAGTCCAAGGCACACCACTGTTGTAAGGTCAGCAGTACATATGGTTCCATTACGATCCAAATACCTACAGGTCACGTGATTGTGATCCCGAACATCGTTCGTTCAAACGACCTCCGATTGCGGGGGTGTATTCAATTATCTAAATAAGTTGCCTTGGCTGCCTCATCCTTCAAACGAATAAAAACTTGATACCTGGTCATGATACACCTCTACTACTCCCGAACAGATATAGACAGCCCAATTAGTTAAGGTCAGAAGCCATGAGAGTCATACCTGGTGTAGCATCAGTGCAATTATTATTATTATTATTATTATTGCTCCTCCCTTGGTTTCTTTGATAGCTCGTATTTTTCGCCCTATCAATACCGTCATAGATAATAAAATATTCTTTTTGGATCCCTTGGAAATACTGAAAAAAATATCAGAGACACTGTTTGATTTCAGTGAAAGAAAGAAAGAACAGAAGCTATAAGAAGCGATGACACTCTCATGTGATTAACGCCTGTTTCAATGAAATAGAAAAAGTTGTCATTTTCAAATCTTTTCATTTGTATCCCCTTACTTCTTAAATAACGACCTGCATTCATATTTATGATTATTATTAAAGTTGTTAAGCTCAAATATCAACTAACGGCCACATCACATTCAAACAGCAGTTCCCGTACGATCACCGAAGGAAAGCAACGTCAACCCTGGTCAGTACCTGGATGGGTGACTGTTTGGGAATACCAGGTGCTATAAGCTTGGATGTGCGGGTGGTGTAATGGATAATGGCTCGGAATTGTTCTTCGAAGAGCCGAGTTCCGATTCCACATGGGTTCGTTTTAATCACTTACGTGTAAATACCCTTGGAAAAGGCATGAATCCACCTCTTCTTTTTCCAGCTGTGGGTTATTTTTTCTTACAAATCTAAAAATATTCCCTGGCTTTAAATAACCTGCAAAGGGTTGATAAGCCGTAGAAAACGAATCACTCAATCAAATACTGATTCGCTACACAGGCATGTCTTTTAGATCTATTAACATTCACTGGAATATAAATGTGTAGAAACTACTATGACCACAAAGTGAGGGATCAGTTTATGTATTGATTTTAATATAGCATTTATCCCTCACTTTATATCCACATTATGATTTCTATTTTGCTTATCAAATTCTGATTAGATATGAATCCACTTTTTCTCCTCTCTATCTAAGAATTAATTAGTAAGGCTTTTATCACTAAATCACTATTATCTAAAAAATATTCTTACAATCTAAATATATTTTCTGACTTTAAATAACATGCAAATGATTGATAAGGTTTAGAATCAATCAGTCAGCAAAACCCGGTTGTCCCGATTACGGATCTTTTATTGTTGTAGAACTCGCCAGGAGCTTATTTAATCCTTAAGAATTATGATTCATCAGAAATTTCAAAGAGAAAAACCGTGAAATTTTTAAGGGTATTTATTATGGAGTGGTTTCACAGTGGAGGCTTGTATTTGTACTAAGTCGGTCCTAAAATAGGTTCGACGTACAAAACTTTAGGAACTTGATATAATAGGTAATGACGCAGAGAAATCTAGTTGTGGTCGCTGATACTTTAGTATCCGACTAACAGTCGTCCAGCATCGACTGACTGACCGAACCACTGAGCGACGGTATTCAGTCACCCCCCCCAACGAGAGCGTCATGTGGCACAAGGCCGGTTTAACGTGGGATCTCCGAGCCCGTGGGCTCGGCCAAAAATATGCCCTTTGAACCCGTATAAACGAGTTCAGGGTCGGTTTACCTCCCCGAAAGAGACTCCGCCCTTCAGCGTAGCTTCGTTCGGGTTCCTCCCCGCCCGAAGGCAGAGAGTTCAAGCGGTCAGCCAGTCGTCCGACTTCAGACTGAACTCAGACCGAACCGCTGAGCGACACACTTGTAACTCTTACTACTGCTACTTATTATAGGTGGGAGAGTCTATTAACTATAGAATAGGGGTGTTCCACTATAACAGTATTTCTAGTTATTATTTCGTCTTTTCCACACAATATCTGATGTTTATTGTTGGTAAGAAGTTTATTTTTCGGTTAATGCTCTTGACTTAAGATAATTAACGGATCTCAGTTGTTCTTTTCATCAACAGTCTGTAAACAATACTTTCCGGAGAATCCTGGCTGTTCTAAGCAGGCAAGATTTTATTAATGGGTCTATCTACAAATCACTTTTTTTTTTTTTTAAATGAAACAAGAAATGAAAGAAAATTATATTATTATTATTATTATTTCCTAGTGTTTTTGTTGTATACACATTCCCTTCTGGGTCTCAACCAGAGACTTCACTGATCATTTTTGTAAAAATAACCAACGTAAGATCACACACATTTGAGAAAAGATAAAGCTCTTCGTAAGGTGTGAGCTATACTTGAGAGTACAATTTTTTTCATTGGCTGCCTGGAACCTCTTCAATAAGTCTATCGGGACCTTTTCTAATCAATCCGAGTGCTCCAACTACAACTGGAATTATTGATGTCCTCATGTTCTACATGTTTTACATTTTCACTTCAAGATCCTTACATTTTGATAGATTTTTGAAGATCTTCAGATACATTACAATCTGCAGGAACTGCCATATCAAAAAGAAAGTACATTCTGTTTTTTTTTTTGTTCTTTGGTCACGATGTCTGGGCGATTATCTTTCATTGTTCTGTCTGTGTGTCTTGTAAAATCTCATAGAATTGTTACAGGTCCTGTCTCTGTAACCGGATCAGTTTCTTTCCCGTAAAATCTGTACTAAAAGACAATTTCAAGAACTCATAGACAAGGTAATAAAGGAAGAAATCAATAAGTATAAGGTGACAGAATGTATGGTCATCATCAATCGATACAACCCAAGACGAAAGTTACAAATGGATGATGTCAAAATCGAGTAAATACAGAAATGTAACTATCCGGGGGGGGGGATGCTTTAACAGAAAACGGAAAAATGTGACATCAAAATCCAAAAGCGCATTTGAATAGCGAAAGTTGCCTTGGTAAAGAAATAGAAAAAAAAAAAAAAGAAGAAAAGAACCATTGAAGAAGAGACTTGAGGCAACAGAGATATGATTCTACAGAACTAAGCTGAGAATATCATAGACTGAACATGTGAGCAATAAAGAAGTTTTAAGGAAAATAGAAACTTCATTATCTCTCTATATCTCTGAGATGAGTTGTTATGATTATTTACATGATTTACATTATTCTGACTGCTATCTTCATCTTCATTGCCTTATTCACAACGTTTCTGCCGTTGTACACTCCAGCTTTCTTCAGGATCTGTCTATATCTCTGGAATGAGGTATTTTGATTATTTACATTATTCAAACTTTTATCCTCATCTTCATTGCCATATTTACAACGTTTCGGCCGTTGTACACTCTACACTTCTTCAGGATTTGTTTATATATCTGAGATGAGGTATTATGATTACTTACATTATTTACATTATTCAGACTGTTATCCTCATTTTCATTGCCATATTCACAACGTTTCGGTCCTTATACGCGCTAACTTTCTTCAGAATCTGTCTATATCTCTGAGATGAGGTATTATGATTACTTACATTATTTACATTATTCATTTATTTATTGCCATATTCACTACGTTTAGGTTTATAAGTCCCAGAAATTCCTACACAGATGTCCTCAAGTGGATAAAGACGTTGGTTAGATCCAGTGACTAGGCCCAAAGAGTTGTGAGTTCAATACCAGGCGACAGCAATGGTGAACCAAAAACTTGAAGAGTTGAGTTAAATGGAAATAACTGAGACATCCAAAAGAGGCAGATGGCACTAGAACAATCTACCCCGGTGGACGAAATAAAGTGGTTCGATTCGAAGTTCCAAACACCTGAAGAACGCTGGAGCGTACAACGGCCGAAACGTTGTGAATATGGCGATGAAGATGTGGCTATCAGTCCGAATAATGTAAATAATGAAAATGGAAGCCAAAATAACATTTATGCTTAGAATAAATACATAATGAAGTTCAGAGAATTTGATATTCGTATGACGTATGAAGGACAAAAGAGATGAGGAAGTGACCTATGCAACAAGATTCTGCGAATGTCTGTCAGGACAGAGAGTAGAAAGGGTAGTTAAAAACTCAAACATCAATTAGGTCGTTGTGGAAAACCATGATTGCTCACGTCTTAAAAGCACACAGCCCATAAAAAAAGGAAGTTTATTAATTTGATTCACAATATATGTGAATTAGCTGACATGTTTTACATATTGTAGAGAAAAACAAACGTTACAATTTCACTTCAGCTCGTTTGTAATTTTGTTATCTGGTTTGAATTGATATTCTGCATCATAATTTGTTAACGCCCCGTTTATTATGAAGCAATGACAGTTCTCTAATCGAGTTTTAAAATAGCGATATATAGAGAGAATGAATTAGGGTGCGTAAGTTTCATTTGGGGAGAAAGAAAAAAGATGATAAGAGAGTTAGTAGCAATGAAACGGGTGGAATATGGCGTGAAAGGAAGAATGAGGAAAAAAAAGAAAAAGACGAAATTAAAAAAAAAAATAAACAGAAAAAAACAGGAAACGAAAGCTTGACAAAACACAAAAAGCTCAATTATAAGCAAGAATGTCAGAAATGTCCCTCTCTCACACTCTCCCTCTCCGTATATATATATATATATATATATATATATATATATATATATGAAACAGACATCAGCATAGTATGATTACTAAGAGTTTCACTGCTTTAGCGATAGCTTAATGCTCGCTTAAATCTTGAAATCTTTTTTTCACCTGCAGTGTTGATGTCTATGTACAGACACACACACAAATACATACGTACATATATACATACATACATACATATATATATATATATATATATATATATATATATATATATATATATATATATATATATACTTTAGTTTATATACATGCACACAGAAAAGTGTGTGTGTATGTACGCGTGTAATTATTTAATGATATTGAAAGAAATCATGGCATATTTTGTTAAGTACTTTATGGGTTTTTTCCCATATCCAAAAAAAAAAAATAGTTAATAACTCTTCAAACATTTGATTAAATAGATGACCCTTAGTGTAAAAATGAAACAGAAACAAATTTATTAGCAAAAAATGAAGATAGGTGTAGGTATTGCTCAATATATTTTTGAGTCTTCAAGGAATATCGTGCGTAGAAACAATGTTCATGAGAAAGTGGGTACTTACAGTAATACCTGAATCTATAAAATCACTGGTAGAGCGCGTAAATTATCAGCGATGTTCAAGAAGTGTTGTCAAATTTGTTTGAGCCGTTCGGGGGTTGAGAGGAAAACAAATAATCAGGAACGTCCGTTTGAAGGAAGGAGTTGCAGAGGGATTGTCGTTTATGGAAAACAGCTTTGTTGAATTGTAATAGAAAAGAATGAGTTGATATCGTATTTTTGAGGAAAAATTGAGTCTAGATAGCGGTTCCTTTCAGAAAAACATGTTCAAAATTATCTGTTTTTAAGTTTTCGTATGTTGTCTAAGAGTGACGACTCACAAGCAGAATCGTGATGAACAGTGACTAAGCTGACCGACGATATCTCTTAAAATTATTCCGATTGGTTCAATAAACCAATTTTAAAAAATCTTCAATTTTTGAAGATTATTCATTTCAAGCAATTTGTGCAGTATATTCCTTTGATTACCATGAACCAGACATTGTCAAAGACATTCAGTCCCAGAAACAAGGCTTATCCAAAAAAAGAAAAAAGAAAA